GATTTACCGTTTCCACTGGCTCTTCATGTGGCTGAGAAACGTTTGCATCTTGAGACTTTTTGAGCCATGCTTTGAGAATCATGATCAAGAATTGATCAAATGATGTTTGTGGCTTCAAAATAAGATGTTGTCCAAAAATTTGGACTTTTGACTGTCAAATGACCATTTTGCCCCTGCAGTTGACTGTGAAGCATTTAGGGTTTTTGACTGTGCAATTTGATGCTGTGAGTCTTGAAACTTGACATAAGGATGCTTGACAATGTTTATAGGCATGTGGGACTTGATTGGGCCCTTGGAAACCTCAATTTCTTTGCCTGAACCAAAACCCTAATTTTGACTGTGTTAGGAGGCAATTGGACTGTGCAACCTTTGAGTGATTTTGAATCATCTGAAGACTGACCTTGGCAAATCTTGAAGAATATGGGAGGGTAAATTTTGGGGTACAACACCATTAAATATTTATTTTAATATAAAAAAGGACCAAAAATATCTCATAATGTCATATATTATTTTCAAGACAAAAAATACAAAAATACTTTTTTCTTAAAGAAACTTATTTTCTTTTAATTAAATAGAATTAGGGTTTATTCAATTTTTTTTTCTTAAAATAATTCCTTTCCTTAATTAATTTAAGTTAATATTGATTTACTTATTTTCTAATTAGGTTGTAGGTTAAAGCTTTTCCATATAAAAAACCAAACAAAAATCTTATTTGCATTTACACATCTTTACATATTTAATTCATCTTGTACATTTATTCCAATATTTGTACATATTCAATTTGGTTGTAATAGATTAATTAGGTTTATATTATTGCAATCCTCATTCATAAATTGTATACCCCCCCTCCCACAAGTGTTGTAATAGTGTAGTAACTTTAAATTTCGCAATTTATCGCTTTTACATAACATGCTAGTAATTAGGGTTTGTATGGCAAGATAAAATCAATCAAATAGAAAACCCTAATTCAAGATAAAGTCAAGCATGAAAATGACACACTTGCACACAAGCACCCCTAGGGTTACCTCACTTGGTTGCCTTATACAAAATGGTCATATTACACATGTAAGGTGTCTTAGCAAAAACAAACAAATACAAGATCATAGTCTCTCGATGACGCTATTCAAAGTTGCCTTACAAAAATAATCTTAGTCCCTCAAAAATGCTAAGATACTTTGCAACATTGCTAATCATGGTTATACGATGACCCACGCCCGTCCCGTTTACATCCAAAGATATGGATGCTTACCAAATCAATGGTAAGACAACAATATCAAAGGAAAAGAAAATGAACAAGAAAGACATTTGAGTAGGTAGATTGCTCTTAATTACTTACTCCATTTCAAAACAAATATCCTTGCTATTTTCAAAACCAACACCTACACATTTCAAAACATCTTACAAAATTGAAAACATTTTCAAAAAGATCAACATCTTTGTATACATTCTTACGAACGAGAATCATTACAAAGATTGCCTAAACAATGGCCTCTTTACAAAATGCTTTCAAAAAACCACACGAAGCACAATTTCAAACAAAAGCAAGTGATCTAGCAAGTAATTAAGAGCCCATGGAAAATCATGGATAAAAAGGGTGCTAATACCTTCCTTTTTTATAATCTACCCCCCGAGCCCAAGAAACAATCTCAAAGGTCTTTCCTGTGCTTTTTCACCTTTCCTTTTGGATAAAAGAAAAGTCAGTGGCGACTCTTGCTAATCGCAACATTTGCGATCAAACGCAAAACCCTCAAGTCAGTTCTCCCACCGTATCACACATGCAATCAAACACACTTGCACACTAGCACCCTTAGGGTAATCCCACCTTGTTGCCTATCGAAAAAATAGTCATGTCCCTCGAACATGGGCGTTTTAGCAAAGACCCTTGATAAAAGATCGTAGTCCCTCGATGACCCTCGATGTTGCCTTCGGTAAACGATCTAGTCCCTAAAACGATATTGTTAAAGCGTCCCATGGATTACCTTCTATGACTATACAAAGACGTTCCACGCCCGTCCCTTCACATCCAACGATGAGGCTTCTTACCAAATTAATAGTAAGATAGCAACATCTAAAGGAGGAGGAAAAAAACATCTAAGACCTTTTGAGTAGGTAGATTCGCTCCTAGTTGCTCGCTTGCTCACAACAAAAACATTTTATACACCAACACTCTCATTTGAAATATTTTCAAAATACAACACTTTGTACGCGTTCTTATAGAAACGAGAGCCATTACAAAGAAAACCCTTTTCAAAATCACTTTCAAAAAACACAAACACCTCTTTGAACTATTGTCAAAACAAACACTTTGTACGCGTTCTTATAGAAACGAGAACCATTACAAAGACGTTTTCAAAATACTTTCAAAACCCACACCACAAGCACATTCAAGCAAAAGCAAGTGATCTAGCAAGTAACTAAGAGCCCATGGAAAACCATGGATGAAAATGGTGCTAATACCTTCCCTTTTCATAATCTACCCCTCGAACTCAAGAAAACATCTCTAAAGGTCTTTCCTGTTCTTTTCAGTCTTTCCTTATTGGATAAAAGAAAAGTCAGTGACGACTCTTGATAAACTGCAATATTTGCAATTAAACGCAAAACAAAAAGTCAGTTCTCCCACCGTACCACACATAGAAACCAAAAACACTTTCAAATATTGAGAATTGAAGGAGATGTACACTTGTGATCAATGAATCAAGGATTTTCCCTTGGCAGCTGCATTCGTAAGAGTGGTGTTGTGATCAGTGACAATGACCTTTGACATGTTTTCTTGATCCTTCAATAGAGTCTTGCACACTCCCAAAGCTCATGTAACGTAGTGTTGAACAACTTGATGGAATAAGGATGGGTTTAAATTATATATCGAATGGTGACTCCATCCTCATACACTCTAGACCTCGAAACATAATGATCGTCATTCAGAAGCTTCAACAATTATTGCATTTCAGTTCTTAGACCTCTTATCGCCTTTTTGTTTCAGGCACCAAAATCGTATACTTGTTGGGTGTTTGAGACATTTTGAGGTCTTTTTCTTTTCAAAGTTGCAACTATGTTTTTCGGCGCAACCATATCCAATGTCATGTTCGCAACGATTTCCTTCTCCTCCAGATTTAGGCGACATATAATGGAATGATCAGCTAACTTATAACATAAATCATAGTTATGAATACCTAAGACCACATTAAATTTCCATGTATCATCCACCTTTCAGTACCCGCGTAACTTAAAAGGACACTCATATTTTCTCAATTCAGTGTCATCCCTTTTCAACTTTTGGATAGGTTGGTATGTGTCACTTCTTTCGCACCACATTGTTACAAAATCCCACCTTCTTTCTAAACCATTATCAAACTTCGCAATCACAATGCTGAACCCCAATTTGTCGGCCAATGTGTGAATCCATTAGATCATATGTTCACGAATAATAAACTCCTAATTAGTTGTAAATTATTGATGAACATCTACCTCCACAACAACCGGTCTAGCACGTACCTTAGCATTAACCAATTTAACATCATCTTCGACATCATCATTTTTAACTTCATCCTCTACTTCAATCGGTTTAACATTAATTGACACACTAGCTTTGACAAAAGTATCAGGGTTCACCATTTTTACAGACAATCATAACTGACTAATAAGTTAAATCTTCAAATTCAACCTTGATAAAATCTAGATATGCATATTCGGATTCACGTTCAACATAATTCAGATATGCATATCCGCACTCAACGTTCATTTTTACATCTCCAAAATCACATTAATGCAAGCAATGAGAAAGAAAATGAATGAAGTTTAGCTTAAACTTCAACTTCTTTTGCTCCTTCTGATATGAGTAAACATAAAAATTAGAGTGAAAAAATGATTGAGAATGGATCGAGGTTTTTAAGGATTTTGAGAGAAAATGGTGGTTTTTAATCATGAGGTTGAAGAACGTGCAAAGTGGTGTTTTAGTTAATTTTCCGCTTGACATTTTCGAATGTTCATATCTAAATTTGTCACAGAGTTGTAAAATTAACAAGCTCGGTGGATAAATACATAATTAATGACGTTCAGGGGGTATTACAGAGATGCATCTTCAAACACAACCTTTCACAAATACAGAGATGCATCTCCGAACTAATTTTTAGCAAAATGAAAGTGCTTCACCTATGACGCCCATTTGATCGTGTATATTGAGTGCGCCGGATATACATCTCTGAAATCCTATGAGAGCATTTTTAGATTTTCAAGTGATGTGAGAGACACCTTATAGGATGGGATGATCATTCCTCAAAATAAATTAGAATTTTATTTCGGCCCAATAAAATTGCAATGCCTTGGCTCCTAGACAGATTATATAAATTGATAATAACAAATTATAAATTATATTTTCGGCCCAGTAAATTTTTGCATGCCTTGGCTCCTAAGTAAACTATATAGGTGGATCTAAGAAATTGATATTAATGAACAGAAAATCAAACTAAATACATAGATTACAAATTCAACTAGCTTTGTCATCTTTATCTATATTTCTATCTATATAATATATATGCATTGACACAAACATTATGCTGGAAACTTTTGTAGAAAACTTCATTTACATTCAGAAATCATGACTTTTTGTGCTAGTAAACTCTACATAGTGTTCATGTTCTTACTCTTCTATATAATTATTTTCCTTTTGTGTGTAGAAGTGAAAGCAGGAATTTGCAAAATTGCACAGAATACAAGATTTAGTTATGGTTGTCATGTGTATGCATGTCATGTAGACTGCATAAGCAGTGTGCATGCAGATTATGGTGCTTGTAAGTTTGGAGACATAGAATTTTCACAATGCTTATGCTACTTTACATGTTGAACAATGAAAAAATAGCTTTGCAATAGCTTCATGAACTGCTTCTGTATACTACTTATTGGTTTAAGCTGTATCAATTTGAATGTGTTAAGAATAGTATAATTGAAAATGAATCTGGCAGCAAAAAAAATGAATGGTTAAAACTGAAACTTTACTCTTCAAGTCATAAATTTTTTGGAGCAACTAATTCTTGCTTCGCTTCATCGCTGACACAGAAGTCAGTCACTACTTGCTTATCGTCACAATCACCTCTATGCGATGAAGGTTTGTCGACTCCAGTGAGTAGTCTTGAACTGAGACTTCTCTTGTGTTCTAGACAATTTTGTATGGAATAACAGTTAAAATCCCAAGTAAAAATCATTCTAGGAAAAAATCTGAAAGAGTTGAAGGAGAAAAGAATAATTACTTTTGCAGTTTATTGTTTGTCGTGTCTCGGCCAAGAATTCTTCCCATTTGAACTGACTTAATTCAAGTTTTTCTTCGTCGGAAAGCTCAAAATTGGGCTCCCTCCCACACATGAAAGCGGCCCTGAACAATTAACAACATCAATGAAGCATCGCAATACTGTGGCAGCTTATCAAACTCAACCGTAAGATTTGGAGTTACTATTACCTGTCGTACAAGCGAGCAGCTTCTCGCTGCGACGCAACGGTTCCTAGGTGAATCTGTTTCTTGTCCACTTTAATGGCTGCCTGCCACTTGTTATTTTTAAAATATACTCCTCTCATTAAGCATTTTTCTTGATTCTCTCTTGGTTTTCTTGAATGCTGCTTTCTATGCTTAACAGGTAGCCCTTAAAAACGAAGATTCAAATTAGATTTCCGCATTAAGTTTCTTGACGATGGTTAATCTAGGACATGTGTGATGCTAGGAAAAGAAAAGAAACACGTTTCGAAAAATAACAAACCTATGCTTTGTTGTTGACTAGGCCGTTCTTTAGACAGGCTAGAACCGGATACGTTTGATGATCCTGATTCATCTTTCACAATGGTATCCTGTGAATTCGTAGAAACACAGACGAAAGAGTTTACTACAAGATCCTGATTATCTTAAGATATAGAACTGGAATTCATTACAACGAACCGAGACTAAAGATAAGTTTCATGTTCAAAATAGATACGCTCTAGAGATTTATATTGATTGAATTTAGTTTTAAATTGAATCGAGATACGATACCCGTGTATGTACGACACTAATAACCATGGATTCTAGTATTAAACAACACCATCTTGCAAATATAATCATTTGAATCAAAGCACAAGCAAAACACCACGAAAATTATCCATTGAACCAGAAGTTTCTACACATGGAAGACTAGCTTGAAAATCAAAGGATCTATCCCTTGTTCTAATAAAGTATCATCATTATTATAGACGAGAAACAAAACATCAAAGTAGAAATATTCAACCATTTAGTAGTACCTGTGTTCCTACACTGTCCAGAACGCTTGCAATATCCGAAACCACAAATTGTTCGCTGATAGGATTAGCATTCGGTCTTGGATTTTCATAGTGAGCTAGATTCTCACAGTATAGAGGAAGTGGAGTTACAGATGAATTGTTTCCTAAGAATTTCCAATCAAATTAACAAATAGTATCAATTAAATGTAACATACAACTCATGTGGCAGAATCGAAACTACAAATGCCTATTTACCTGAGCATAGTCCCAAAAGTCTGCGTCTTCTTAAGCTTACCATTGTTACTTCCGGTCTATTATCTTAGCAAAGTGGTTTAGTTACGATACCAACTTCCCTTCAAGGAGTACCTAATTCGGATAGAAGATTGAAAATGAATTCAAATACATAAGTTGGAACTACGAAGGAAAAAAATGTACTAATGCAATATTCAACTATCATATTCGCAAAAATTAAGATATAATATAACAAATAACAAATCATCTACCAATGAATAGTGGCTAACTAAATCTTAGAAAGATCAACTAATGCAATAAGAATAATGTTTCTTCCAAGAATGAAGACATGAATTAAAAACATATAACAATATCAAAATCATGATTTTAAATTGCGGTTGCGTTGACCAGATCCCTATGCAGTCGAAATCGCGATTGTGATAGAGTTCTGAATACCTCAAAACCCTTATTGCGACCTCAATAGCGGTTGCAGACCACAATTTAAAATCGAAATCCAAACAGATAGGTTTAGCTAAAGCTAAGTCCAACACATAAATTGTTAGCACCTAGCAGAATTCTAACTTGAGACCTTGAGAGAAGCACACTCAAGACCTAAGCCTTCACCAGCCGGCCAACCTCGGGGTTAGGTTTAGCTAAAGCCTGATGATCACTGTAGAATTTCAACCATTATTATTGAACGAGAAAACACCTTAATCAACAAACAATGATTCAAAAATGAATCACAATATGATCGTATCAATAAGTACTCTTACCTAGTAAAAAAAAAAAGAAGCTAAATTTGCATAGGATTATTCTTATAAAATGAAATCAAAATACCCTAAAAAGAAGCTTGTTTTGGTAAGTCAAGAGAATAAAGCCCACCACCACCTTATTTTCCTAGGAAAGTGGTAACAGAAAAGACCAAAACAAACCCAATTGACCACATACATGAAAAGCCACAAAGTCAATAATCGAAAAGAAAAGACTATGATTTTAAGCCGTCAAAGCAAAATGCCACATGTACCAAGCCATTGATAAGAGAAAATACTGTTTTCACCTGAACATGATAAAACTTCATAATCATATAACCGTGTTGGCGGTGGTGGTGTGACATGTGAGGTTGGAACTGGAAACAATGTTTTTTGTTGTTGTTGTTAGTGATGTTTCAACTACCAATCCTTGGATGTGTGTGCGTGTGAGTAACAACGTTGGTGTTGTATGTTGTGAATAGTTGTGACGGTGGTTGGTTTGATTGAAAACTTCAATTTCAAACGATGTTTTCTTTTTTACAAGGAAAAGGTCTATAGCTGATTGAGAGGGTTGGCTACTTTACCGTATTAACCTTTTATACATTTTTCAAACTTGTTATTTTATACACTTTTAAAATATGGTTTTGAATAATTCGTTGTATATTATTTTAGATTTTTAAATAAACCTGAGAAAAGAATAAGAATATGGGAGAAGGAAAGGGAGAAGCAAAATAGGAAAGAAAGTTTATACTTGGAAGAAAATTTTTAGATTTGTCTTCTTCTATCATTTGGTTTTTTATAATAGTAAACAGAGAAAGAATGAAGTGTTTTTAGGGATTGCACATGAAAAATGATTTTCTCAAAATTAGAGAGCGTAAAGCATTTTTAATGATGAGAATATAAAAGTAATGATTGTTATTATTGAAGGAAATATATAAAACTGATTTGATATGTACAAGGAATAATTAAATTACACTCAAAAAATTATATTATAATTTACACTCGTTCAATAATTTCATATTGATGAATATTTTTTTAAATCAACTCTTAGATTAAAAGATACTCATATAAATCATAACTATAAAATTTGAGACTTATCTATAATAATTTACTATGTCATTGAACTACATCAAAATTAATGTTATATATATATATAAGACGTATCATATAAGAATGAGTAATTTATATGAGAATGTGAGAATATAAAAACAACCATTGGATTTATATTTAATGGTTGAGATTAAAAAATATTTTTAAAATTTGATTAATGATTTCTCTTTCTTATTAATGACACATGATTTAGTGAAAATCACAATTTAATCTCAACCTTTTCTTTTTAAATTTGATGGTTCTTATTCATTTTCACATTCTCATATATATATATATATATATATATATATATATATATATATATATATATATATATATATATATATATATATATATATATATATATATATATATATATGACTTGTAGACTAAATAATAAATCTTAAACTCTAATTAACTTGGGGTTGGACTATACAACTTAGATTATATCACAACATACCTCCATATAATTGAAATTGTCAAACATACGCTAATTATAGTCAATATGAATTATTCCTAATTTCTTTCTCAAGGTTAGGAATATGTCGATCTCTAGTCTTTTGGTGAAAATATCAGTCAACTAAGATTCACTTGAGCAATGTCTTATTTCAAGTTCACCTTGATTTACCTTTTATATTAAAAAGCGAAATCTAGCTTCAATGTGCTTACTCCTTCCATGCAGAACTAGATTATTCCTAAGATTTATATCTGACTTGTTGTCGATCTGCATCACTAGAGGTTTCTTTACTTTGACCTCCATTTCTTCCTGCACCGATCTGATCCAAATTTCTTGACATGCAGTATATGATCCTGCTATATATTTAGCCTAACATGATGATAATGCCACCACAAGTTACTTTTCCGAACACCATGAGATTGGGGTACCAAATACTTGAAAGAAATAATCAGCTGTGCTTCTTCGGTCTTCCTTATCTTCATACCAATCAGCATCTGAATAGCAAGTAATTGTAGCTTCTTTGATTTCAGAATCTCGTCGAAATAGAATTTTATAGTTGATCGATCCTTTTAAGTATCTCATAATTCTTCTTGCAGCCTTCATGTGTGACACCTTTGGTTCACTCATGTATATTCTCACTAATCCAGCTGTGAAACCTATATAAAGTCTATTGTTGCACAAATATCTCAGAGATCCAAAAATTTGTTTCAGCAAAGTTATATCGACTTTGTCCTCCTCTCCATGCTTCTCCAGTTTCAAATTTGGTTCGATATGCAAAGATGCAAGAGTCGAATCATCCATCCCGAATCTCTTGAGTATCTCTTTGACACACTTCCTTTGATGCAGCATCTTGCTTGGTAATTTGAAACTCGATGCCTAGGAAATATGACAAGTTTCCTAGACTCAACATTTCAAATTCCTTCATCATCAGCTCTTTGAACTTCGACAAATTCTCCAAGTTATTTCCAGTTACCAGTGTTAGAACATAGTTTGATTCTACAACCCTTGATTAGAGTTTTGATGATAACAAAATACAAAGAATAAATTATTTCAAAGATATATACAAAGAACAATTATGCTCCTTAAAATTATGTTTTGTATATGCAGAAGTTCTGATGGAATCAGCATCAGAATGGAATCAGCATCAGAAGATCAGCAACCCGTGTTATACGCTGAAACTACCAGACCACACGCTGAAGTTTGATGACCAGAATCTGCACCTAAACAAATACACTCTGACTCTAATCAAAGACATTTTTACCAAGTCATTAACACTCTGAAGCGTTATCAACAGATACAGCAAAGAAGACTCTGAAGCGTTACTGGTTATTCAAGACAGAATTAAATGCTAACGGCTTTCTTCAGACAAAGATCTTCTACAAAAGGAAAGTGCATTATTATCATTAAACCTGCTTTATGGACAATGTATCCTTGCTTGCCTATATAAACAGGTCTGCTTGTGAAAAGAAGCACGTACGTACGCACTCAAAATTTGCAAAGCTATCCAAACCACGCATATTCAAAGCTTTAGCAAATTCATTTTATTCCAAGCCTATTTTGTGTAATTATCACAGTTGTGATATACAGTTTTGTAAGAAAACAAAAACACACTTGTTCAATTCATTTGTAAAAGAAGTTCCTTGAGATTAATCGGATTATGGTTGTACTCAAGAAGACTTTAACGGTTGTTAAAGTAGCTGTTGTAATCCTTTGAGAATAGTGGATTAAGACCTCGTTAGAGAGAGGCGAAATCACCTTGACGGGTAGACTGAAGTAGTTTGAGATCAAACGAACCAGGATAAAAATAATGTGTTGTCAAGCCTTTTGATTTAAGTTTTACAATTCAACCCCCCTTCTTGTGTTTTTCACATCTTCAATTGGCATCAGAGCGCCTGGTTCTGAGCTTTAACACTTAACTGTGTCAGTACAAGATCCATCGTCAGAAAAACACAATGGCAGGACCAAGTCAAAACACCAGCAATGACAACAATGAAGAAAGGGACAGATTCAGTGGCAAACCTCCAGTCTTTGATGGAGAAAACTTTGACTACTGGAAAGACAGAATTGAGAGTTTCTTTCTGGCCCATGATGCTGATCTGTGGGACATGGTGACTGATGGATACACGCACCCAGTGGATGGACGTGGTCAGAAGATTGACAAGAAAATGATGTCTGATCAGCAAAAGCGTAAGTTGAGAAATCATCACAAGGCCAGAACAATTCTTCTCAGCGCCATCTCATATTCAGAATATGAGAAAATATCAAACAGAGAAACTGCTAAGAATATGTTTGATTCTCTGAGAATGACGCATGAAGGCAACATTCAAGTCAAAGAAACAAAAGCCCTTGCGCTCATTCAGAAGTATGAGGCATTCAAGATGGAAGATAGTGAATCAATAGAAGCTATGTTTTCAAGATTTCAAATTCTTGTTGCTGGTCTAAAAGTTCTTGACAAAGGATATTCCACTGATGATCACGTTAAGAAGATCATCAGAAGCTTGCCAAAACAGTGGAGGCCAATGGTTAGAGCGCTTAAACTAGCCAAAGATCTCAACAAAATCTCTCTGGAGGAACTTGTCAGCTCCCTCAAAAGTCACGAGATAGAGCTAGAAGCAGATGAACCTCAAAAGCAAGGTAAGCCATTAGCTTTAAATCTAACAGAAAATCTGACTCCAAAGTTTTGCAGGCTGTGGAAGAAACCTCTGATGGATCCTCATCAGAAGAAGATGAATTGTCTCTTATCTCCATAAGGGTGAACCAACTGTGGAAGCA